TTGCCTAAGGCCACGTGTCCGTCATCACCAAAGTTGTCTCGGCTCAGGAACTTGGGTACGATTGGGGAAGGTCATCTATAAGCCCCTCTACTGGCCCGATCTGAAGATCGGCCTGTACTAAGCATGATATATTGTTTTTAAAAACACATGTGTTTTTATTCCGATTATTAGCTAGAATTTACTATGTGATGCGCACAACACACAAGTATAGACTAGATCGCCTAATTTGGAACAAAGCATCGCATATTCGTTCGTTTGAAAATGGTTTGAAGTTTACTACTCGCAAGTAGGCTAAAAATGCGAATTTCAATGAATTGTCCCAATTTAAGCAATCCAACCTTCACCCACAGGCATTCAGGCAGTTATATCACATAAGCAATTAGCCTCATGGCAAGCATGTTGTCATGTTAATATTCACATACATGCAAGATGCTAAAGCGTAAACACTCACAGTGTACTCTGAGCCAAAACAAAGAACATATTAGTAATCAATGTATGATCCAAGTCCATGTTAAGATGGCTAATACATCACATACAAAATGCAACTAGAATAGGCTCGGCTAGTCTAAAATGGCATGTGAGATGCGACAATTCGATACATGTATTCAACTTAGAATTGAAATACAATGCAGTTAGTATGATGCGCCAAGCCCGGTGCATGCAATATAGATGAATGATGCAAACATGCATAGCATAAGGATGCTAATTGAAACGTGCCCTAGAACTAACCATCATAAGCGGTTAAGTAAAAGGGAGAAAGAAGTGGGGGTTGGAAGACATGCATTACACACACGCACGCTTATTACACAATTACACCCTCTCGACAGATGGACCGAAAGAATAATACAAATTACATAATTAATTAACTAACAAGCTAATTAATTATTACACAACACTTAACTAATTAAGCAAATCAATTAAGCTATGAAAACAGTAAAAACAGCCTCGGGAAGAGGGATGCATGCGTGCTCGGACGGCTTCGCTCGAAAATTCATCGCCACGTCACATGTTGCCTCTGTTTACACTGCTCTGTACCTCTGAAAACTGTGCCAACTTTTGTGACACTTTTGAACCAGTTTGGGGACTTTCTGAGAGTCCATCGGCCAAGAGATAGAGCCATCGGCCATGGGAAATTGGTCATCGACCAAATGTAAAGCTCTCGGCCAACAATGTTTAGCCGACCGGCACTGAAAATAGTCGACCGGCCATTTCTTCCTGCAGAATGCTGTGTTGCTGCAGCAGAGGACAAACAGAGCATGACAATACATTTAGAAGGCAATGTTTGCACGACCACCCTCCTTATCATATTTGAGACTCAAAAGAGTGTAGTCCTCGACCCTCGGACCACCAATCACGTATTTCGATGCATGATGGCCAAAGGAGCTGAATGTGCAATTCAATATGGAGTGAAATGCACACACACAAAAAAAAAAAACATAAGGGACCCCAACCTCTATCATGCTTGATCAAGAGGCAAGGGATACAAACATGCAAGCAAAACTAATGCAACATGAAGCATGTCAAGGACAATCCCATACAAGGCTAATGGTAATAAGCATGCCAAATGCAATGCAACCTAAACAAGCATACAAACATGCAAGGCATGTGGCAACATTCAAGGATAGGCAAGCATGTAACAACATGTGGGGCAAGCATGCAACAACATGCAAAGGACAATACATGCAAACATGCAAAGCAACTTAACAAAAGGGGCATGCCAAATGCGATATAACTCAAGCATGCAACAACATGCAATAGGCCAAGTATGCAACAACATGCAAGGTAAGCATGCAACAACATACGATAAGGGTCTTAAACCAAAATGGACAGCTCTCAAATAGGTTCAAATCAGTGGCCAAAGTGATGAAACAAAGGCATGAAATACACATATAAACATGCATGCTAATGGTCCATTACCTTAAGCATTGTAGAGAAACTTTTAAGAACGCTTAAGGGGAGACAAACATGGATATTAGGCAAACATGTTAAGCTCTGAAATCATGTTAGAAGAGGTGCCAAACCGACCAAAGTACACAAGCAAAGCATGCAAGAAAGCTTAAAGCCTGAAACTAGCTTAAGGGTTCAAACCATGGCTATACAAAGCAAGCCCCCAAAGGGCCAAAAGGACCTAAAACAGTCCTAAGGCAGGTCCAAACAAGACCGAAAGCAAGCTCGAAACTAGCCAACACAAGCTAGAACACAATGCCAAAACATGAGGCATGCAAGGCTACCAAAGAGGGTGTTACACTACACCTATCAAAACCAAACATGGCATGATTTAAGCATGAAAAACAGAGTTATGGCATGTCAAAGTAAGCCCAAAAACTTACTTAGATGGCATCTCAAAGACCTAAGCATGGTGGCATACACAATGACACATTCATGAGGCATAAAACACAAACCCTTTAAAACATTAAAGGAGTGACAAGTGCAAGTACATGAGCATACTATATGGACTGAAATAATATTACAAGTGATGCCAAACCACTGAAATGATCCGAATAGAGCATGCTAGTGACTCAAACACCCAAAGCTAACAAGCTAGATTGCATGGTAGCTATACAAAACAATGTAAGCATGACCAAAACAATGAAAAAAAGAGCTCAAGCATGTTAAAACAAGGCTAGAAGCTTCATGGAGTTGAGCCAAAGCATGCAAGCATGACAGTCTAAATGCTAGATACATGTTAAGGCAAATGAGGGGATTGCAAGGTAAGTATATGGTGCATGCAAGAGACCACTAAACCAACTTTAAACAGAGGTAAATCATGGCAAAACAACACCAAATACTTGCTGAAATGAAGCTAAAACAAGCTAGGCATACAAGCCATGAACATAAGCCACTTATGCTAGCATTCAAGATGACAAGGAGAGGGGATGACCCTCTCCTATTTAGGATACCAAAACCACCTCTCCACCACTAAAAATCCTCTGGATTTCAGTGGTAGAGAGGTCATGCAAAGCTCAAAGCAAGGGCCAAAAGAGATAGCCTAAAACAAGGCCTAACAAGGCCTTGGAGGGGGTAAACAACCCCAAACCTCAAAATGACCTTAAACAAAGTTTAAAATCAAGTAAAAATAGAACTTTTATCAGTTAATAGCTAAGCTTAAAACAATAAGCAAGAAGGGCTAAAAGCCTAAGAAAGAAAGGGGTATCTAATGCAAGAATGCTCACCCTTGAAGAACACAACACCAGCACCTTTCTCTGATCGAAACCACTCCAAGAACCCTAACAACAACTCCTCAGAACCTCAGCAACCAAGGATGGTGTAATGCTAGGTGTTTGTGTGCAATAGTGTGAACAAAATCACTTTAGGTCACAAATACACACACAAATGATAGAGATAGGGAGATATAGAGATAGAGAGAGATACAACTTTTTCTAACCCTAGTTTCAAAACCTCTGAGAAGGGAGGAGGGCCTCCCCTCTTATAGAAATTCAATTTGCAAAGCTTCTTAGAGAAGCTAAGCAAAGGGAAAATCCCTCCATACACATACACGTGTATGGAGGGGGTTAATTGTGGATACCAGCTGTGCCAGCTGGCACAAAATACCTGCATAAAGCAGATGAATAGGGTTCGGCCACCAAAAAAGGCTGATCAACCAACATAAGTGCCGGCTGACCAAATATAGTGCCGATCGGCCAATACTTTTGGCCGATGGAAAGAAAACAGGGCCGATGGCTTCAAGCCTTGGCCGGTGGGTTGACGGTATGGCAAACAAGCCACCCTCTTCCTTCAGAAGCAAAAACATAAGTGTTTGGTCCACAACTCAGCACAAAACAGACAAGTTGAGAGATCTTGAGGCAAGGCGCGTAGCCGAGACCTTCGAGAACTCAAAACGAACACGAGCATGGATGATCATCGAATGTTCAAACGATGACGTCCAAGTCTTGAGGATGGTAAAAAATGGGGTGTCTACAGTTTGTTAGGAGCGGGAAGGGTTTGCGTTGTCTGCCATCTCTCCACCATTACTCCGTCGTTCCTCTACCGTGCCTTTACCGTTTGCTCCGACGGTCTGCCATTGTTGTACCGTAGCTCCACCATCACCATTGTCATTGAGGTTGCTTATTTTCCTTATAAGAATCTTCACTCAGGTTTGAAATATATATATATATTTATATATATTGTATTTCTTACAATCTGTTATGTGTATATATATATATATGGTGATTTATTTTCATATCAAATAGAGATTGTGTTTTGGATTGGGGATTTTAATATAATATGATAGGATTTTGATATGTGTATGTATATGGTGATTTGTATCAACTGATGCTCTATTATTGTACGAATGTATTATTGTGTTTTGAATTAGGGATTGATGCTCTGTTAAATTAACTTCACAATTTGATATGTATAAGAATCTGTTATTGTGTATGGTGATTTAAATGTTGGCATTTTTATTATCTTTTCACATAATGCAAGTTATAAAATTTTATGATCTTTTTACTTCAAATTGATGCTTTGTTATCAAATTGATGCTCTGTTATTATAGGAATGTGTTATTGTGTTTTGGATTACGGATTGATGCTCTGCTAAATTAACTTCACAATTTGATATGTATAAGAACCTGTTATGAAATATATCAGTACCTTTCATGAAGACTTCAATTAGTAATTTTTAAGAATATAAATTAACAGTTAGCACCAGCTGTATTTGCATTAGCAATGTAACCAAACAAACATAATAATGTTTTTGTAAGTTTTTAAACAAGTAATTTAATTCCTATAGTTTAAGGACCAGATGCTTTTGATTTTGATTTTTTAATTATCAATTTTTAATTTTAAATAAGCTGCCAGTGCTCTTTGAAATCTTGATATAGTAATTGGTTTCCCCTCACAAATCCTAGTTGTGTTATGTTGCATTTTGGTTTTCACATATGTTCCTTTGTTGTTTTTATGACAAGTTGCATCATTTAATATATATGGTCACAATTATTTCATGGATTGTGCACTTTTCACCTAATGCAAAAGACTTTGAAGCATTTAGGCTACTTATTCATGGGTGGTTTAAAATTTGGTTGTGATTTCAAAACTTGGATTTTTGGGTATGAGGATGAGCATGAGTTGGTTGAAGCTTGGGATTCTTTGATTCATAAATATAACTTGCAAGAGAACTTATGGATAAAGAAGACTTGGGAACTTAGAGAGAAGTGGGCGCATGTGTATATGAAGTTGGTATATGCTGCAGGAATGCGAAGCACTCAACTTAGTGAAAGCTTGAATGCAGAATTGAAGAGGAATTTAAAAGTTGACCATAATATTATTCAATTTTTTACACACTTCAATCGAGTTGTTTTGGATAAGCGGTATGAAGAAGTAAAAGCCATATACGATTCTAGACAACAATTGCTGAGAATAAAGTTGAAAATGTCTCCCATGTTAATTCAAGTTGCTAAGTTGTATACCCGTCCTATCTTTGACTTATTTCATAATGAGTTAAACACATCACTTCATTGTCAAGTGAAGCAATGCCATGAGTTAGAAAGAGAAGTAACGTATGTGATTGGCTTATATAGAGAGGATAGAGAGTATATTGTGAAAGGTAATGTGGAAGTTAATGAGTCAGGATGAGACAATATTTGTCAAGAAATTCATTGCACTTGTCAAAAATTTGAGAGTTTTGGAATTTTATGTGGTCATGCAATTAAGGCGCTTGACAGAATGAATATTATGAAAATTCCTGAAAGGTATATATTAGGTTGATGGAGACTAGATGCGAAGGATTGTGCAATTGAGAAAACAATTACAGTGGTTGAGAATGACCCTAAGTTGGTGATAGCAGCACGCTACAAAGATCTTTGTCCTAGAATGGTAAAACTAGCAGCTCGATCATCTGAATGCAAACTTGGCTATCAATTAGTTGAAGAAACTCTTAGGGATTTGTGTGCAAAGGTAGACAATATGATGACTTCATTAGACGGCTCAGGCACTTCTGGTAGTGGAGGCAATATTGAAGTGGGTACCAAAGAATTTGTAGTTGATCCAAACTTTGCACAAGCTAAGGGCTTAAAAAAGAAAGAGGGCGGACACAAGGGTGGGAGTAGATTAAAACCTTGGCATGAGAAGACTACTAAGAGAACAAAATTTGTTTTGCAACCTACCCGCCTTACTCAAGTATTGAATTTACCTAAGTACTTGATTTCAATTCGGCTAGATTTATTTTAAAATTTTGCAATGTACTGATAAATGTTTTACAACCTCTTTAGAATATTGGACAGTCAAGCAACACTAGAAATATTCAGAATTCATCTTCAAACCACACATCGGTGAGATCTTATTCTTTTTATTGAAATCATATTATTTAAGTACATAATGATCATAAAACTAATAACAATATTTTATGGACTAGGATGTTGAGATACCCTATTGGCCACAACTAATGAATTCCGGATATAATCTGCTCATGCACGATGTTAATTTTGCATGCTCGCCAACTTATCCACTATCAACGCCTTTGCCTTCCCAAGCATCATACAATCCACAAACTTCTCAAGTTGTAATATACCTGTTTGCAATCTAGATTTTTCTTTTTCCATATATGTGTGTATTTATTTCCAATGCATTTCCTTATATCTTTTTTTTTTTTTTTTTTTTTGTAGGGATTAGGATTTGATCTAGCAAAGCACAATCCCATGGTGGCTGAGTCAATCTTTCGTAATGATAGTTTGTTTGATTTTTTCAGTCATTCAGAACCACCCTCGCCAAATTGAAATGTAAACATTTATCTAGCGGGCCACCATTTTGCTTTATTTTTGAGAATTAAATTGAAATAGATTCAAGGTTTATTTAAGGAGAAGCCACCACTCTTACTGTGTTTTATTTTATTTGTGTTTGATACATAATAGAGCATCAAATTGTGCGCATTGGATATGGATTCAAGGTTTATTTAAGGAGAAACCACTGTTATTGTGTTTTATTTTATTTGTGTTTGATACAGAACAGAGCATCAAATTGTGTAGATTGAATTTTTTTTTTTGAAGATGGAAAGGATTTTTTATTTTATTTTATAAGCTTTATGGTAGCTGCAGCTAATTGTAATATATATATATTTTTAATGCTGGAATACAGATTGTAATAGCATATTGTAAATTTCTTTTTATGCTAGAATACAGATTGTAATACCAGCAGATTGTAAAAAAAAAAATTTATGCTGGAATACTAATTGTAATAAATAAAATATATATCTGAAAAATTAATGAGTTGTCTAAATAGCACAGTTGTTGAAGATTCTTTTTCTTTCCAGTTTGCCTAGGTTCAAGCCCTCTTAACAACCAAACCAATATTTTTTTTATTTATTTATGTGATGAAACGACGCCATTTCAACTCACAGCAGTTACTGTTGTGAGTTGCTCACAGCAGTACCCCCAGATCCCTCGTTATGTGCGTTTAGTGTTCAATTTTATTTGTATTTCTATATATATATATCCTTATATATAAAGCACAAATACTCAACGGACAAAAATTTCGGCCTCGTCGAAATTACCTTATTGTCCATTGCTTAATGCCATGAAACAATGTCGTTTTGGGCTATAACTCTTAAAAAAAAAATTTAAAAAAAAACCTCAAATTTCCTCCTTCGCTTTGTCTCTCCTCTCTCTATTTTCATCTCTGTAAAAACTCTTCAAACCCTCTCTCTTCATCAGACCCAAAATCCCAAATCCAAACCGACATAACACCGAGTGAGAAGGAGAAGATCAACCAACAAAATATGCAGAGAGAGAGCTCTGAATCAAAAGCGAAGAACGAAGAGAGAGAAATAACGACGAAGAGAAAGAGGAGATAGAAGAGACGAGCGCACACCAAGAAGAATGCTTTCTTTCTTTAACCAGGTTTGGAGATTCAAACTAAGGTTTTGATTTGGGGATTTCCACTGAAAAATTATCGAAAATTAGAGAACCCTAAGGGAACTCCAATTTTTTCAATTAATTTTGAAAGCATGTGATTGTATTGTTTTAGGTTTTGAATATATATATATAGTTAAAAAAAAAATTTTTTTTTTGAAAAAAATTAAAAAAAAAACTTCTTGAATGTGAGTTGGCAAAAATATGTTCAATGTCAATTGCTTATTATGAAATTGGGTTCTTTAATGGGTTGAACACTTTTTTTTTTTTTTTATAGCAAAAATAAGGAAATTGTTAATCTAAAACAATTGGTGTTCTGTTACGAAAATTAGGATCCTTAACTTAGTTGTGATTGTCTATAAAAAAATTTAATATCTTGAATCAAAAATTAGAGAACCCTTAAGGGAACTCCAGGTTCCAGAATTAATTTTGAAAGCATGTGATTGTAAAAAAATTATATTCTTGAATTATTGTTTTTAAAAAAAAAATTAAATTCATTTTAATTTGCAGTGAGTTGAAAAATTAGCTTGAATGATTAATGCATGTCAGTTGAAAATTTTGCTTCAATATGTGAGTACATAATTTATTTGCTACTAATTTTCTTCACAAATTTGTCTTTCAAATGGCAAGAATCCTATGCAAACTGTTTCATATGGATGCTGTGCATATTTTGAGTAGTCTCCTAAGCCTCCGTTTGGGAAGTGGGTTGGCTTTTTAGTTTTTTTAGCTATTTTAGCCTGGGCTAAAAAGTTTGGTTTGGAAAGGGCTTTTTGACTTTTTTAACTTTTTTTGTGAGAGAAGAGTGTAATGATTATGGGTTAGATGTGATGTTTTATTTTTTGTGGTTAAAATAGCCTATTTTGTCTTTTGTAGCTAAAATAGCCAAAAAAAACCCACTTTAATTCTTCCCAAACGGACCCTAAATTGACTTGAGGTTTATTGGGATACTTTTGATTTAAGAATTGTAAAAGTGTTATCTTTGCTATTTCTCATGAGCACATATGACTTTGGTCTGTTTTTCTTGATTTTTAAATATTCAACTTTTTTGTTTATTATTTTTATGTTTATTGTCAGTGTTGCGGCTATCTAAATCTCTTTGACATGTTGGTGGGACAATTATTAATTTGTTATTAACATATGAAAATATTGCTTTTGAAGAAGTTTCTTGCAATATCCTATAGTACGTACCTTTCCATCAATGCTATTCACACTAGCTAATTCTAGACAATACAATGAAATCATGATGATTGTGGCACCAACTTAGCTCAAATGAGATATTTTTATTTTTCGATTTATAATATTTTTATTTTTATAATATATCACGGGTTTGGTTCAAATAGCTATCATATTTCAAATTTCAAAATTTTCACTTCTCTAATTATAGAAAACTTAGCAAATCGATTTGTTTATTTCTTCCATGAAACAATTAAGTTCACCATAACTACTAAAACAACTTTGGCTTAAACACATGCATATTCATTTCAAAATTTTCACTTCTCTAATTATAGAGAACTTAGCAAATCGATTTGTTTATTTCTTCCATGAAACAATTAAGTTCACCATAACTACTAAAACAACTTTGGCTTAAACACATGCATATTTATAGTAGACGATAATTGTGTTTTTTGAAAATAAATCATACATTTTTTTTAATGATAAATGTTTTTTGTAACAAAATTTCCACATGCGGAGACAAAAAGTTTTGTCTCCAAAACTCGTAGATATTTTAGTGATGATTATTTTGAACTAAATGATATTATATTTATTTATTATTTTTTAATATCTCTATATATGAAAACAAGAGTATAGAAGTCCTAATAAAGATTCAAATACCAGTCTGGATCATAGAATCAACAAGTTCTAATTAACTCAACTATAATATATTTATTTATTATTTTTTAATATCTCTATATATGAAAACAAGAGTACAGAAGTCCAAATAAAGATTCAAATACCAGTCCGGATCATAGAATCAACAAGTTCTAATTAACTCAACTATACTGATGGTTATTGTTTTGTTTGCTATTATTAAATACGTACCATAGCTCATGTTATATAAAATTTCTATAAATTTTACAAATCGAATTGAAACAGATCAATATAACTTGGATTACATAGACCCAAAAGGCAGTTCAATTTTTAATTTACTTTAAAATCAAATCAATGTGATATGTGAACATGTTCTACTAGGACATTTGGATAGCTCAAATCTATTCAAATTATAAAACAATGGCTGAGATATATTTTCTAAAAATTATCCTACATGTACATTTCTACTTTCTCACTTCTCTCTCTTACTTTTTCCTTTTCTCACCCATCCTTTCATGATCCCATGATCCCGCCTTCCTCCCTCTTTTCTTTTTATATTTTTATTTTCTGTCATTTTTATTTTTCACTGTATTTGTTTATTTTTTTTATTTTTTTTTATTTTCTCCTTTTTGTTCACTTATTTTTATTCATATTATATGGAAAAATCTGTGATCCTAGAATTATGAGCCAGATTTTACTATGTGTACTGCAAATTAATTTAATGAATTTTATAATCTACAAATTAAATGAATTTGAACCATTAATTATTATTTTTAAATAAAGAGTACAGAAGTCCAAATAAAGATTCAAATACCAGTCCGGATCATAGAATCAACAAGTTCTAATTAACTCAACTATAATATATTTATTTATTATTTTTTAATATCTCTATATATGAAAACAAGAGTACAGAAGTCCAAATAAAGATTCAAATACCAGTCCGGATCATAGAATCAACAAGTTCTAATTAACTCAACTATAATATATTTATTTATTATTTTTTAATATCTCTATATATGAAAACAAGAGTACAGAAGTCCAAATAAAGATTCAAATACCAGTCCGGATCATAGAATCAACAAGTTCTAATTAACTCAACTATACTGATGGTTATTGTTTTGTTTGCTATTATTAAATACGTACCATAGCTCATGTTATATAAAATTTCTATAAATTTTACAAATCGCATTGAAACAGATCAATTTAACTTGGATTACATAGACCCAGAAAGCAGTTCAATTTTTAATTTACTTTAAAATCAAATCAATGTGATATGTGAACACTCCCAGTTACATCATATCATCATCATATATTTATATATACTAGCGTATTCTCGTATCTAAAGGTACGGTGTAAATAATATTATGATTAAAATATAATTATAATCTTAATATTATTTAAATTTATTTTTTTAATTTAATAAATTCACAAATTTATTATGAAATTTTGGAGTTCTCACAAAACTCCTCAAGAAAACTCACTTTTGCTTATGCAATATATAGCTAGATAGATAGATGTGTCTGGCGTACATACAATTTTCACAGGCATACATACAATAATACTTTTGCTTATATAATTATATGAAAATTGTATGTATGCTCGTAATGTCCTAGTGTATTACGGGCATATATACATTGTATGGAAATATGTGTAAAATATATTGAATAAAAAGGAAAAAATAAAAAAAAACAAATAGAGAGAAAAATGAAAATGGGAGAAAATATAGAAAATAGGGAGGAAGGTAGGATCATGGGATCATGGAAGGATGGGTGAGAATGAAAAAGTAAGAGAGAGAAGCGAAAAAGTATAAAATGTACATGTAAGACATTTTTTAAAAAATATATCTCAGTCATTATTTTATAATTTGTACAGATCTAAACCATCCAAGTGCCCTAGTAGGACAAAAATATGTTGAAGATTCAAAAACCGTCATGCTTTATTATATAGATGTTGAAAATTCGTATAAGGTCTAAATTTATGAAGTCTATTAGGTATTCAATATATTTAAAAATAATAATTAATGGTTCAAATTCATTTAATTTGTAGATTATAAAATTCATTAAATTAATTTGCAGTACACATAGTAAAATCTAGCTCATAATTCTAGGATCGCAGACTTTTCCATATAATATGAATAAAAATAAGTGAACAAAAAGGAGAAAATAAAAAAAATAAACAAATACAGTGAAAAATAAAAATGATAGAAAATAAAAATATAAAAAGAAAAGAGGGAGGAAGGTGGGATCATGGGATCATGAAAGGATGGGTGAGAAAAGGAAAAAGTAAGAGAGAGAAGCGGGAAAGTAGAAATGTACATGTAGGACAATTTTTAGAAAATATATCTCAGTCATTGTTTTATAATTTGAATAGATTTGAGCTATCCAAATGTCCTAGTAGGACAAAAATATGTTGAAGATTCAAAAACCGTCCTGCTTTATTAGATAGATGTTGAAGATTCATATGAGATCTAAATTTATGAAGTCTATCAGGTATTTAATATATTTAAAAATAATAATTAATGGTTCAAATTCATTTAATTTGTGGATTATAAAATTCATTAATTTAATTTGCACTACATATAGTAAAATCTGGCTCCTAATTCTAGGATCGCAGATTTTTTCATATAATATGAATAAAAATAAGTAAATAAAAAGGAAAAAATAAAAAACAAATAAAGAGAAAAATAAAAATGGGAGAAAATAAAAAAAATAAAAAGAAAAGAGGGAAAAAAAGTGGGATCATGGAAGTATGGGTGAGAAAAAGAAAAAGTAAGAGAGAGAAGCGGGAAAGTAAAAAATGTACATGTAGGACATTTTTTGAAAAATATATCTCAGCTATTGTTTCATAATTTGAACAGATCTAAGCCATTCAAACGTCCTAGTAGGACAAAAATATGTTGAAGATTCAAAAATTGACCTGCTTTATATATATATATATTATTAAATATAGTGTTTTTCTCTTGCTTAAGTAACACATTCTAAAGGTTGATTTTAGAAAGAAAGAAAAAATTCACATCAACATGCATTTTCTATTTACTTATAAAATTCTATACAAACTTAATTTTAATTATTTTTATACAGACTCTATTTTATAAATGTTTATTTTCTATATATATTGTGAAATCTTGTATTTTTTAGGCACTAATCACTACAACAAATGGCTCTTTTGGCGACTAAAAATCACTACAACAAATGGCACTTTTGGCGACTAAATTTTTAGTCACCAAAAGTCACTTTTTAGTCGCCAAAACCTTTTACCGACTAAATTTTTTGATCGCTAGATTAGTCGTGAAATAATTGTCGGGAAAGGTAATTGGTGACTAAAAAAGATTTAGTCGCGGACAGTCCTCAATCGCCAAAAGGTTTCAAATAAAATTAATATCGCATTTTCAGCGATTTAAACTTTTTGTCGGCAAAAACTTTAATTATTTAGATCGACTAAATTTTTAGTTGCCAATTTTTATTTTTATTTTTTTGTTCATCTTATTTTTTTAGCTACTAAGTGTTTCAGTCACCTAAAGTCTAATTTGTTTTTAGCTATTAAAGTTTAATTTGCCTAAAGTTGGAATTTTTTTTTTCTGGCTACAAAATATTTAGTCGCAAAAGTATTTTTTTCCTTTTTTTTTTTTGGCTACTAAAGTTTTAGTGGCCAATTTTTTTTGATTTTATTTTTTTAAGCTACTAAAGTCTTAGCTGTCTAAAGTCTACTTTTTTTATGGCTAGTAAATATTTAGTCGCTAAAAGGATTTACTTTCCTTTTAGCTACCAATTGTTTAGGAAGAGGGGTAGCTGCTGTGCATAGCGCACAGCAGGATTTGCTGTGCTCCTATACGGCACCGTAATGTTGCGTTTTGTTGTAAGGGTTGCAACGTCACTGTCCACCCAAGGGGCAACCATTGATTATGCTATTCGAATTTTTTATTTCATTTTTTCTCTTGCTTAGGGGCACCTTGGAAAGATCGGTAAAAAGCCAATTTTTTAATTTTTAAAATTTTTAACTTTTTTAAGCAAAAAAAGTGAGATTTTTTACTTAAAACAATCCAGTTTTTTGTCAAAAAAGTCATCAAAAAAGTCAAAAAATCAAAAGTCATCTTTTTACCAACTTTTCAAAACACCACTTATTTTAATTAATAGGGTTGGGTAGGTTTATTAGGCAGGTTGACATTTTCAAATTGCCATCCACGCTGACCCGTCACTCCTAGAACTGCCCAACACACCCGCCGGAGTTGAAAAAATGCATAGCTTGGTGTGATTTAATACGATTGGATACGATTTTAACGATATTGTGCATGGTCCTAAATAGGACATATACTTGACTTGCAAAAATTACTTTCTTAATATCAAAATGATATAATCAAATAGTATCATTTTGCAATGTAAGATTGTAAATCATATTAAGTGGAGTTTGATATCATTTATATTAGAATGAATTACATTAATGGTTCTTATAATTAGGGACTTGTGTCATTTTTGTCTCAGACTTTTCAATTGTGACACATTTGATCTTGAATTTTGAATTTGTTCTAAATAAAAATAATTGAAGATATCATTACTTAATTTTAAGAACAAAATCGTCAATTTGATAAAATATAAACTAATTTGACAAAAATAAATATTAATTTTTTTTTTAAATTTAAAAAAATTATTTCTATCTACTAAAGATAAAATTATGTAAAATTGAAAATCAGTGATTTTTTGGGTGACGATTTTTTTAAACTGTCGCTAAAACTTATAATTAGTGACATTTTTTATGACAAAATTTTCAAACTGTCACTAAAAATTAACAATAGTGACATTTTTTAATAGTGTTTGATAAAAAATATTATTAATTATTATAGAACCTATTAGATAATAAGTTCACCTATTAAAACTTATACGTAAGTCTCTCTAACTTTTATTAAAGAAAACTTATATTATTGATCACTTATCGTGTAATACTCATTGAATTAAAAAAGACTAATATTTAAATAAAACATTTCAGTTGGTTTGTTTTATATTGATATAAAAAAAATTTAAATCAAAACAAACCAAAAACTAAATTTTCAATCAGTCTTAAGCGGTTGTTTCAGTTCTATCGATTCTTCATATAGTATATATAATGTGTGACAAAAAAAAAATGGTCAAAATGTCAATTTATTTTGAGAATTGTTTTTATTGCCATCCCAAATTAATTTTGATTTTGACTTAAATTTTTATTTTATTTATCAGTAGAACTTAGTTGTTATTAAAGAAATGAGATATCACAAAGTTTGTCAATCTCTATTAAATTTGAACCAACAATCACACATCATAAAATGAAATTACAAAATCTCTTTAAAAAGTCAAATTGATTCTATCATTTTGATCTAAGAAAGTATTTTTTTTAATAAGTTTTATAACTAAAACAAACAAAAGAAAAAAAAATTAAAAGCATTAAAGCTTGCCCATTAGAAGGACAATAGCTGTGAATGATTACAAGAAAATGCACCAATGCGGTGTCGTTTAAGAGCACAGCAAATCCTGCTGTGCATAGCGCACAGCAGGTACCCCATTCCCAATTGTTTAGTTGCAAAAAATATCATTTTATGTTTTTTTTTTATTAATAATTTGTCCACATTATGTATGTATTCCGTGCAATCTATACCATATATATAAACAAAACAATATATATATATATATATATATATTATCAACCATTATACAATCTGCATCCATTTCACTTACAACCATCCAAAAAAGAATAACTTTTAATGTCAAATTCCATACAAACCAAGTATTCCCAACCTAAAATAATAATTCCATACAAAACAGAAAATCATACAAAAATCATGTCCTCTGTACACAAAAAATATATTAACTACCATGCCAAATGGCCATTTGGCATGGTACAAATTTCCATAGTAATCGGTACATAGAGGAATCCTTCACAAAATTCAATTAAACAAACAGTTGTAGGACTAAGTTATTTAAGCTTAAGGAGGTTAATAAATTCTGTAGAAAGATTTAGAACTCGAAATATGTTATTCTATTGGAGACCTATCATCTTACCATTGCACTACATGAGGCCAAACCTATTGAGGCCACTCGACTTTCTTGAGAAGATTGAGAAAACATATCAGCACAAGATATGCAATGCCTTACATATCAATGAGAGATAGAAAGACGATTTAGAAAAATAAATAAATATACCAATGCGAGCTATAGAAGCAAGATATATATATATATATATATATTGGTGAATAAGTCATAAAATAAAACAAGAAAAATTACAAGAATACAAGGGGTATACCCCAGGCCCCACCAAAGCTATACAAAACAAACCAACTAAAACATTTATACTAGCATATATCTAGCTAGCACATACAAAAACAAGCCTATCATTGTAATGTTTTCCATAGTAGCCACATACACCATGTTCAGTAGCACATACAAAAACAATCCTATCAATTTTATGTTTTCCATAGCAGCCACATAGACCAATATACATGGAACCAAACGATTAAGAAAATAAAATAAGACTCTAAGCACAACCCGCAAGGGAATAGGTAGAAGCCTTAGAACATGAGCATAAAACCAGTTGGAATTCAGCTCTATACTTCCTATCCATATGTGTAGCACCATCAAAATAAAAAGGTCAACTGTCAAGCACACTCTATGCATTGAACTGGCGTAGATTGTAGCCTGGCTCAACTTTGCATTCCTTATAACTTTATTCTTCCAAGTTTCAGCATGACCTATTAGGACCACCCACACAGATCAACCAAATGAAACCAAATGAGTAATAACCTGTAACAAAACTCACACATTTTGGCCACTAAATCACTCAACCCACATAGATACACAACACTCTACACAGCACTTAGAAATGATAGCAAGTGAGTAACAGAAAAATACTCCAATTCAACAAACAATTTAGGCTTCCTTCACTTGACCCACAATAAAAAAATTCCCTGTAATAAGTACCATCTATAAGTACCTACAGTAAATAGTTAGAAAGTTTTGGAAACTAATTCACTCAACCCACAGCTTACAACACTCACTCAATATATAAGGGCACACTATCTCTCAACCCACCATCCCTATATAGATATAGATATAGTTTTGTATACTGAAAATAGTTCTACATTTGCCAGCTCCAGAAATGACGGGGCAATGGCGCCGAAAAACATTTTCCCTTCCATATTTGCTGGCTCTATAAACGGCAGAGATGTGGACACCTAAAACCATGTTTTTCCACATTTGCCAGCTCCAGAAACAGCGGGCTCATGGACACCCAAAAATATTTTCCCACATTCGTCTGGCGATATGCGCAAACAAGGTAATTGGGCACCTTGACTCCTCGCGCGGGTACCAATTACATTACACGACTCAAAAACCAACCCAACTCACTACTCAGAATCATAGACTATGTACCCCCTTCCGTTTTTCAACAATCACTTCATCATAGTGTCAAAAGAGAAATTTGGAATGCATATGATTCATGAATTTATAAATCTTCAATTTTTCCTACATGATTTCAATTCATAACAATTCACTACTTTACACATCAATAATGGAGGATACCTTATTAACAACCTTCACCAACTCAAGGTGAATATAGACAAAAGTTTCAAATCTTACATTTCAACCTTAAAGTTAAGTAAATACATTCAATTTCATGTTTTTAAAACCAATTGAACAAAACCCCTCTTTATTGAACAAATCTTAAAACTACGCGTATTCAAAGAAGTATTGAATTGACAATGAAGTTTGAATGATGCGCCGAGTCTCAGTGCATGCAAGACAAATGAATGAATGCAAACATGCAAGCATAAGGTATGCTAATTGAAACATGACCCTTAATCTAACCATCAAAATCGATTAAATAAAAAGGAGAAAGACGCGGGGTTGGAAGACATACACACGTGCACACACACTTATTATAACATTACGCCCTCGCGAAGGAGGGTCTGAATGAATAATTAGCTAATCTAAGCTAAGCTAATTAATACAAAACAAAATAAAGAAAAAGCTAAGCTAAGCTACTTAATTATTACAACAATCAATTAACTAATCTAAGCTAACCAAATTCATATTGCGCTAATTAATTAAACTAATTTAATTAAGTACAAAACCGGCTAAAAAATAGCAGTAAGCATGTTGTTCTAGCTAGTTAAACTTGAAACGCATCAAATGCACGTGCGCGCGCTCGTTTTCCACCCGGAATGCCACTGCTTTGCTGCTGACTGCCTCTGTTTGCACAGTTGAATTCTGGTATGCTGAAAGGGCACTGTTCTGAGAGTACATCAGTGGCTGGCCGGCCACTAATGGAGGCTGCCAGCCATCAATGAAAGGCTACCGGCCATCAGTTTATGGCCTGCCAGCCACTGATGAACAACTCCATTCTACTACAACAGAGTACAACACAGAGCAAGAAAGAAGTAATTTCACAGATTGTATGTACTGTGTACCACTCCTTATCATCAAAACATCTCTAAGAAGTGGTATTCGTGGCTCCAAAACCACCAACCAAGAATTTTCAATGCATGATGGCCAAAGAACCAAGGAATACAACTTCATTGTATCATGTGTGATCAAGGGCAATGGAGACCAAGGAGATTGGCTCATTTCATCACTTTGAGTATGAAATGCTCCAATCCTCCTTGTGTTCAATATAACGTCTGATTGAACACATGAAATGCAACACAATATGATTATCTTGCTCAAGTTTTACTTATCACTTTTGTTTACTCATTTTAGTTACCGATTCATTCTTTAACCGGTTTAGTCCATTGGTGAGAGTCCTCTAAAGAGAAAGAAGCGTCAACCAAAGGATGATGTAAGGCAAGAGAGAGTTCATGCCGTTGATAATGAATCTTTAAAGAGGATTAAACCATTAAGCATAAACTCTATCTCAAGGTTAAAAATCCTAAACTTGAAGCAACTCTCAAAAGTAATTGAAAGAGTGAAACAAATAAGAATGTGACAAAGCTATGTATGCTGGAATTACATGCAAAATGACACTATAACATGCAACCAAATCAAACAACTCATGTTTAAAGGCCTAAAATAATGAGCTAGTGAAGGAATTAACCCTACAACTATGCAATACAAGCCTCAACTGAATTAACCAGCCCAAAACAAAGCCAAAACAGGTCAAAACAGAGGCAAAAACATGCTGAGATTAAGCTACAAAATGCTAGAAAAACATGCTAACATGATAGGCAACTAGGCATGCAAGCAAGACAACAAGGAGGGGAGACCACCTCCTTCAATTTTGGGCTTCAAAACATGGTTTTTGCCACTGAAAATCCTCTAAAATTCAGTGGTTAAAAGGCCAAAAAAAGTTAACTTAAAAGCTTTGAAAAGAGGCACAAAAGCTTAACAAACTAAGTAGCAAAAGGGTGAACCACCCCTAACTCAAAAAGGGCCTTAAATCACCATTTTTAAATCATAAAAACAAAGATTTTTGGAGGTCAAAACCAGCTCAAAAACAGCTTGTAAAGATGGCAAAACAAGTATTTAAATACAACTCAAAACACAAATGTTCTACCTATTGAAGACAAGATACAATTTAGGCACCAAAGTCAAGCCAAATCAAGCCAAAATCCACTTCTAGAGCTCAAAAAGGACCTCAAAAGACCTCAGCTCCACGGTGAGAGTGTTTGGTCTAGGGTTGATGTGCAAAAGTGTAAAGAAACTAGACTTAAGGCACAAAATAACAAGAGAGAGAGAGAGAGAGAGAGAGAGAGAATTTTTGTCTTCAAAATTTTCTAACCCCCCTCCCCACATGCAAGAGAGGGGTCATATATATAGAAAATACAAATTCCCTTCACCAAGATCTAGCCGCACACGTGTTGGAAGATGCATGAATCTGTGCAAATAGCTAGCACAAAATATCAGAAAATATCTGTTGAAACACTGCTGGTTGGCCGGCCATCAGTGATGACCGGCAAGGGTTCATTGGTGGCCGGCCAGGCACATCAATGCCTGGCAGGCCAAAAGCCATGGCCGGCAGCCCTCAAAAAGGGCCGGCAAGCCATTACTAATCTCAATCTGAAAGGACTTAAGCATGGTCCAAAGATGAAGCAAAAAGGATGCAGGGTTTGGAAAACTCAAACCTGTGGCGTTCCGCCGCGGACTTCAAGCACTCAGTGAGCAATCAGACTCGCCACCGGATGTACCTGCAAAATCATCCAAGTTTTAAAAGGCCATAAAAAATGGGGTGCCTACACTAGGGTTTATAGAAAATTTGACGTTTTTTTTTTTCTTTTATGAATTAAGGACTACTTTTCCTCATCAATAACAAAAATCATCAATAAAAGACATAATTCCATCCAGAAATCATGAATTATTGACCACATCTTTCCAAATCCTTTATTAACCAACACAGTCCATACACATATACATACATATATATATATATAAGGATGAATATCTAATGAAATTACCACATGTGGGTCTCAAATCAAAGATACAACAAGTTAAAGACACCCCTACCTTAAGATTGGAAGTTAAAGATGAGAACCCACTTGAAACTTTGGCAAAATTATGAAATAATCGGTACAACTCTTTGTCCATGCTTTTCTTTCAAGCTCCTTGAGGGATCTAAGGTGGATCTAAGGTAAAAATTGGGGAAATCAAGTGTTTGGGGCTTTAGGGTTTCGGTATTGAGGAGAGGGAGAGAAAAGAGGAAGAAAGAATAAAGATTTTGGGCCAAAAAGTGACTTTAAAGTGCCTGATATTGACCAAACTGCTCGAGCAGTCAAAGTTTGGCTCTAGCAGTGAAAACAAGCTCCTAGAATCTTTGAAATTTGCGCAGACCGTTCGAGCGATCAAAAGTTCGCTCGAGCGAACTTGCTTCCAATGCGGGTACTCAAATTTCAAACAGGCAAAACTCCATCGTCTGGACACCGTTTTAGGTCGTTCTTGCGTCCAAATTGAAGCCCCCAAAACAAGATTTCCAATGGTTCTGGCCTCACATCCAAATTCAAAGTATGGAAAGAGAAATGGGCAGAAGAATGAAGATTACTCATGGGACAATTATCCGGATCAAAGTTTTTGTTTCAATCTAATTTTACCATTATGATGCCACCTCAACCAATATCCCAAAATAAGCCAAAGAGGCTTGAAGTACAATAATAAGAGTTCAAGAGAGATCCCACTAGTTTAAGAAGTACAGAGTGTTACATTGGGCTTGTGGGGTTGTAGGATAGTTGTGTGTTCACACAACCTATACTACATCAAACAAAAAAGGCCTATGTTATTCAACTATTTCAGAGTAATATTAATAGATGTGGATGTTCACAGTTGTGTGTATGGATATGAATATTCACATCTGGCTATGGATGTGAGTGTTCACTGTTTCAGATTGAAATTAGTGTGCACAGTGTATGTGTGAAGGGTAGTGTGTTTACACAACCATCAACAACATTCAAGAACATATGAATATTAACATTTGAGAACATGGGTACTTACCATCAACAACATGACACATTCGGTGACTTTCCCCGGTTTTTTGTCGTTTTGGAAAATAGAGGATGTCAGCGTTGTTCTAATTTGTTTGGCCCAGTCATATTTTTGCATGCTTTCGAATAGGACCATATGTGCATAGTAACCCCATCATATTGTTTCGCTGCTCATCGAGAAAAAAATTTTATGGCATGCAAACATGCAGGCTAATCGCGCGACTTCTTTGTTGTCATTTTTCTTCTTGCCAGTCAATGCCTCGGTCAAAAGGATGCGTATCAATTTTGAAGTCAGCCGGCTGACATTTTTGCACCTTTCATTTATAATGTCAGTCTTTGGTTTCGCACCATATGATACGTCCATTGGTTTGGTGCCACAGTACACACCAAAAATTAATTTAATGTCGCTGTCGTGTATGTTTATTTTTTTCTTGCCAATGTAGAAGGCATCTTTGGATGCCTTGTACGTCTATAGGACATGCACAACAACATCATCATACTTCATGCACTTGTCAAGATCGATCTCACCAGTTCTCAATGCATCTAATAATTGCAATAAAGATGTTCACCGCAAGCAGCCGAGTTGTGCTTCTGTGAACTTTGTGCTTTTCATTAATTTCACCAACCCTGTCATGTTCGATCTATAGTTGACACAACGCATGTCAACATTGCTGTTATTATTTGTAGGTGGGCTTTCTTCTTTGACATAATATTCCTCTCTTTTTCACTTGGACAATTTCTTCTGTGCAAAATCTGCTAAATGGAGCATAAAAATTAACAGAATACTTATGAATAAGTAACAAGTGGTATATTTTGCTAACAACGTTAGTGATATGAACATTTAACATAATGATGTGAACATTCACAGTTGGTGGATGTGAACATCCACATTTGTCAAATGTTAACCCAACGGATTAAATTATGTTGTGAACATCCACACTTGTAATTTAGATGACAATGCACATACTTATTACAATCATGCAATGCTAATGTCATAGTTCAACATCAAAATTGAAATACACTTTAAAACATTAAAGTTGCCATGGAAATAACAAAAGTGATATGTTTTCCCTAAACACAGTGGTGAATGTTTACAGAGTGTGTGATCAATTAACACATGTTATGAATGTTCACAACAAAATTATATATAACAATAACATTTGAAACAAACAAATTGGACCATGATTCTTTGTTTTCATGTGAATGTTCACTAGTATCAACAACAACAATATTAGGGGCAATAACAGTAATAATATGAAATTCCACACATTGTACGAATAAAAACAGGGGCTATTTGTGGAAGTTCATATTGGTGCAATTGAATAAGAGATTCACACGATTCACATCTTTGGGCACTGATGTGAAGGTTCGCATCTATGGACAATGATGTAAACATTCACATCTGATAAAGGTTTGAATGAAATGGAGGTGGATTGTGCATTTGTGTTGGCATTAGCACATATTTATTTGGCATGTATGTTCACATTCAGACCACAAAAGTGGAGAATTGCATTTTTTTTTTTTGGTGACAACAACAGTGTTGAAAACATCCACACCATTGATGTGAACATTCACAGGATTGTTAACATCAACATTGAAATACAACTTACAATACTGATGTTAACATGAATAGTAGAGATGTGAATATTCACATGAATATGGATATGAAAACAAAAGCAATAGTGGAATTAGTCAATGTGTGAATGTTCACATAGGCCACTGAGACAGCACCAACATATGTTGATTTCTCATATTGACAGAAACAAAATTTCACAACATAAAGGAAACATTTGCATACTATCTCATCATCAATATGCACATAACCACATTGACCAAACCCATATGACCATTATTTTAGCAATAAGTATAATGTGAATGTTCACACTAATATTTACATGAGTCATATTGTGAATAATGTCATAATTTTAGAAATTTCTAATTGAGCCACAATTACAGCAAGACAAGACCATTATGTTAAAATCAAGGTGGCTTGCATAGTGTCAACTTGCATAGAAACACATTAAGCAATGTGAATATTCACACAAACATTTGAGACTACGAAACTAAGAATAAAGCCGATAATCAAACTACATATAGCGTGAATGTTCACATATAAGTATCATACAACAAGAACACAGTGGAAACAATTGTGTTACTCCACATATTTTTTTCCCATGTAAATGTTCGCTACTATTAACATACAAGCTGTTACTGTAATTTTTTTTAGGGGTGAGGGTTTTCATATTCAACGATGAATAGTGTTAATAACAACAATTGAACAATAAGAGGAATAACAACAATAGTATAAACTTCACACATTGTACGAATAGGATCAATAAATTTGGGTGAAGGTTGAAATTATAAAAAACAAAAGGTTATGGTTTGTATATAAGATTTGTGATGAACACTTACGTTTGTTGACCATTTTTGATGATTTGGGTTGCCACAAATGAGACAATGAGAGGAAAAATTTATATTTAATTTAAATTTTATATACATATATATAATATGTATAAACAGATTTTAAATAGATATTAAAGAAAAATCAATACTCAACATAATTAATCTATCTATTTTTTTCTTAATCTAACCGCAACATATTATATTTAAGTTTTTAAAATAATTTTTTTATAACTTAAATTCCTACTTGTTTTTAATTTTTTTACTTCCAACTGAATAAAAAAAGATAAATAATTAGAATCACTTTTAATTGTATGTTACTATTTTTTTTTTTTCAATTTAGCTATTATTATTAATGTCAAATTGAGTATTTATTTTACTATGTTTTAATTTAATATCATATAAAATCATTATATATTTATTTCAGTTACACTTTTATAGCACGATAAGGTTAAGATTATTAAAATACACATAAATAATTGAAATAAAATTATTATATATATTTGTTTAAATAACATTTTTATAGAACGATAATGTTAATATTATCAAAATAAATAATTAGAATTATTTTTTAATTTTAAATGACTTTTTTTTCTCCAATTTAATCATTATTTTTAATATTAAAATGAATATTATTTTATTATATTGAAATTAAGTACAAAAGTATCATATATACATTTAAACTACACTTGCATAGTTTAATAGAAAGAAAATTGTAGTACATGTTTGGTAATATATTTTTTAAATAATTATATATATATGTATACATAGATATATATTATTATTTTATAATGCATACATTGCAATATATTTTTAAAAATAATTTATATATAAACATATATAAATAATTTAATTTAATTTTATAAAATATTATTTTAAAAGAAAAAAATTAAATCGTACATCGGATGGTCAACAACTACTTTATTTAAATAATAATGTTAACTCTATATGATGTTAGAGTATTTCTAATAGAGTTGTCAAAGGAGTTGCCAAAACTATAATTTGGCAAGAGTGACAAAAAAGGGGTCTCTAATGGCCTGCTATTCTTCTTACCAAAGATAGTAGATGCCATTTCCGTCTCAAATTTGGCAGGTTGAGTAGCAGGTACCAAACATGCCACTTCATCAAATATTAATAGATTTTTGGCTCCAAATTGAGTTGAAAAAACAAATTTATTCACTAGAAAAACCTCCCAAATTCGATTTCATATACTGGTTCCACAAATTTCATAAACAAACAAAATCACAAATTCGATTTCATAATGATCGTTCAATTTTAGAAATAGAATTCGATTTTAATTCCACAAACAGAATTCGATTTCGTAATGATCATTCAAGAACTAGTTCCACAAATTTCACAAATAGCAGAGTCAATTTAGAACAAATCACAAATTTTAGAATCAATTTGGAACAAATCAAACCCAAATTTTAGTAAAGAACAAATCAACCCAAATTTCACAAATTTATATAAATTTCTGAAACAAATTTAAAAGATAAATACCTGGATTCTAGAATGATTGATGAACTTGTTCTTCATCTCAACCTTCATTGACCTTTAGGGCTTCTTCTTCATCAATTTGTAGTGCTCTTTCCTAGACCAATCGACCTCCATCGAAGTCCAAACAATGGTGTTCAATCAAACACCAGAGTTCCATTGAACTCGGAGATCGGTGATTGGCGCTGGTGGTAGTGATGCAAATCACAAAGAGAGAGAGAGAGTAGACTGGTTTAGCGATTGCGTCTGGTAGTGGTGATGGTCAAAATGAAGATGGAGAGAAAGGAGTTTCTGATGAAGATTGTGAGAAAGGGGGTCGTGGCTGCTGTAGATGAAGATAGAACACCAGAGAGAGAGAGAGAGAGAGATGCTCTCATCATCTTCATCTGGTTTGATGAGAGCAAGAGAGAAAGAGGGGGCTTTCTTTTGAGCGGATCATTCTAGAGGATAAACCTCAGTCATTGGATTGTTCTTTAATCAACGGCTGCGATCTTGTTCATAATTAGCTGTTGGATTGCCAACAATTGTGTTATTTTGTTCATTAAAAAAAAAAAAAAAACTTTTAAAACATAAGCACAACGGCTATATATAAATAAATAGCCATATTTTTAAAAATTCTCAACAGCCATATTTAGAAGGAAAAAAAAAGGGGGTCATATTTTGTAATTCTATAAATACAAACCTTTAATCTTAATTTCATTTCACAACAAACCTCTGAAATTATATTTTTCTTTTTCTCCTCTCTTTTTCTCAATTTCATTTCACAACAAACTTCTCAAATTGCATTTTTATTTATAGTTTTTTCATAAAATCACTATGGAAGGTTCATCAAAAACAAACAGAGGAAAATCATTCACCATTGATGAAGATGTGGCACTTTGTAAAACTTTGGTGTTACATTTCTGAAGACCTAATTGTTGGTTCTGAAGACCCAATTGTTGGCAATTCACAATCTTATGTTCACTTTTGGTGGAGAATTTATGAAAACTATTGCTTACTTCAAAATGATAAGTCATGATCACAAGTGTCTATCCAATCTCGATGGGGTATAATCATGAAATGTTCCAACAAATTTTGTGAGTGTTTAGCGCAAATCGAAAATCTACACTCAAGTTGTCACGACCTAACCCCTGCCCTAAGGGATTAGAAAAGTGATCGGCCAGTAATTTGATATTACCAAAGGCCTACTTAACAGTAATACAGTAATAGGGGCTATGAAAGCCAATAAATATTAGAATATAATGTCCAATGAGCTATTAAGACTTAAATGAACAAAACAAAACTTTATATATACACATATGCACATAAGTCCATGTCAAGTCTGTGTACAAAATTTAAACAAAACTTAGGGATTTAATCCCAATAACAAAAGCTGGTCTAACCAATAGTCTAGTCACATATAACACTTGAACATAACACAAGAGAGTGAATTCTAAACCACCCATTAAGCCTTGAAGCTTGACCGCTTAGAACCTCGCAGTGAGGCAAAAGAGTTGGCTTGACAAAACAGAGGCTATGTCGATGCCACTAAGTGCGATCTTGAGCTTGGTCACCTACATATAATATAAAACGGTGAACTAAAGCCCAGTGAATAACAATAGTGTAAAGGGGTTATGAATGATGTCTCTTCAGTAGTTAAAACAGTCAATTATTATCATTGAATCAGTTTCTCATTTCATAATCATATTGCAGTCATAGCAGTTATACGTGGTACATCCATTAGCAAAACAGTACAGTAGGTCTTAGAAGATCGAGCAGTCATATATGATGGCCATCAATGCAGTAAACAGTAGTTCCAAGAATTGGAATTGATAGAGATATCTGTAACAGTAAAAAATGCTACAGATGCCACGAATACATTTCGTTAATAGGATAATCATTCATTTAAGCAGAGAGTAACATTTTGGAAATAGAGTACAATATAAGTCAGAAAATACTTATAAGTCAAACATATCTTTACAAGGTTGTTATTCACAGTTGGCTTCTGAAACACGTGAATAGAAAGCGGCGTCTAACCTACACAAGCACATTCAAGCAGAAGATCTCAAAACGCATGTCATTCTTCAGTCAATTCTTAACCCTATTCAGTTTTTTCGGTATTTGTTTGTTCGGTTAATTTCTTTTGTGCTCATGCTATGCATATGGATGGGAAAAGCACGTGAAAACCATGCAGATGGAGGCCCAAAAGTTTGAAAAACAAAAAGAAAACAAAACCGAGCTTGCCTTAAAAATCACACGTGCGGGAGCACTGCCCACACGTGTAGAACCTCCACCGCACGTGCGCCCTGCATGTACAATTAAAGCAAAAGTGACACTGGAACAGGGGAGGCTTGGCCGCATGTGCGGGGCCTCAGGCCGCACGTGTGGTCTAGGTTCATTTCAGTCTGAAAATCTGTTCTTGAATTGGAACCTCCTCTATCAAAATCCATCTTCAAATCCATGCATATCAAGGCTCAAAACTCACAAAAATAACTTGATTTTACCATATCTAACTTTAAACAAAATCATAACTTCAAATCAAACCTCAATTTCCATACAAAGGTCAAATTCTTTGGAAAAATTGTAGAATCAAGAAATACAACTTTAAGAGCTTCAACTCAAGCTTATATGTAGAAATTCCTTTAAGACCAAGAGAAGCCATGCAAGAAAACAAGTTTGTGGTCATGATTTTCATGAACTAATGCTATGCATGCTCAAAACTTGAACTAATTCTTACCATTCCTCTTTTTTATGTTCATAAGGGGTTACAACTCCAAATAACCATGAATCCATTCAAATTAAGTTTCAATCTTTCGAGATGATGAGTATATAAGCCCTAATTTCATGAGATTAACACAAAATTCTTACCTTAAAGGTTTGATCTATGAAGATTTGCTTGATTCCACTTTCTTTCCTTCTTCTTCCTCTTGCTTTCTTCTTGAGTTCTCTCTCTCTCTCTCTCTCTCTCAATAAAGCCCACTAAGTCTCCTTTCTACTCCTTCTTGTTTTTGATGAGTAGAGTTAAGGGTTCAATAATCACTAATTTCTTCTAAACTCTAATTAATTAGAAGTTTAAATTAATAAATCACATGGACTTTAATTAATTCAAATTCACTTAAATTAAATCAATTCTCATTATAGTCTAATATGAATCAGGCTCTAATTCATATCCAATAGTTACATTCAACCTTATGGTTTACTGATTCAGATAGGTTTAATTTATATCCTAACCATATATGTTCACAACAATACATTTCAATTCACACATAGTACATAATAGCATATAGCACATAATCAATGCAAATCATATGAGCCACTTAATTAATCAAGGAAGTGGTTGTTACACAAGTGGGATGTCTCAAGTTGATATAGTAAGATTTTATCTTCATTTATTATGCTAGCTTTTTATTTATCTATTTCATGTCATATAAAAATTAACTAATTAATTTATTTAATATTTTATCCATACAAGTGCTGCAAGCAAAACTTTTATACCATCAAGATGAAAATAAATAAATAAATAAATAAATTTGCTTTTGAACACTGTTGGCAAGTATTGCAAAATAATATCAGGTGGCAAGATGTAACTCCTACAAACACAGTCAAGTCAATGATATATACAACATTTACCGATTCAGTCCTTGATTCCCCTATGAATAATTGCATTTCTCTTCAAGACGATAACAGTCCAACTGAAGGTAACAATCCAAGTGTTAGTAATGGTAGTGTCTCTGCAAGAGGTAAAAGGCCTATAGGTAGGAAATCTGTAAAAGAATTATTTCAGAAAAGTCAAGTCGTTGAAACTGATGTCCACAAATTTAACAATTTGTTGGAGACATTTAACCAACACTTTACTGAGAGGGAAATGAAAAAAAGCTAAAAGAGAAGATAAAAGAGTGCAAACATTGCAGGAGATGAAAAAACTTGATATGAAAAATGAAGAACATTCCATAATGATTACGAACATATCTAATATGAATCCTCAGCTGAAAGCTTATTACATAATGCGCAAGAATGAGATTTTCGCAAAGTGATCCGCACATGTGAGCAACCCACACTACGCCAAAATTAGGCTTTAGCGGCGGTTTTTTACCGTCGTTAAAGGCTGTAAAACCGTCGTTAAAACCTTTAACGGCGGTATTAACGACGGTTTCGTTACAGCCGTTTATGCGCGTGTCGGAAAAAGTACAACCGTCGTAAAAAGGTAAATTACCGTCGTTAAAAGTCGACCAAAAACAGCGGTTTTATACCGCCGTAAATAGGTTCAGATTTTTTCAAAAAGTAATTCTTTCTTCTCGCACTCCCCAAGTTTTGAACCCAAGACCTCTCATCCACCCACACCAACCACTCTGCCATAGCCACTCTTCATGAAATATAACAGTCCAACTGAAGGTAACAATCCAAGTGTTAGTAATGGTAGTGTCTCTGCAAGAGGTAAAAGGCCTATAGGTAGGAAATCTGTAAAAGAATTATTTCAAAAAAGTCAAGTCGTTGAAACTGAAGTCCACAAATTTAACAATTTGTTGGAGACATTTAACCAACACTTTACTGAGAGGGAAATGAAAAAAAGCTAAAAGAGAAGATAAAAGAGTTCAAACATTGCAGGAGATGAAAGAACTTGATATGAAAAATGAAGAACATTCCATAATGATTACGAACATATCTACTATGAATCCTCAGCTGAAAGCTTATTACATAATGCGCAAGAATGAGATTTTCGCAAAGTGGTCCGCACATGTGAGCAACCCAAATGATTATTTTCCCCTGCCTCTTGATGAATAATTGGGGGGAAATCTACCTTTCATTTTGCAATGTCATTTATTTTTCAACATAATTTTTAACATTTTTGTTTCACTGTAATTTTATTTTGTAATGTAACGTATTGTTGCAATCTAATTTTGCTTTTGTAATGTATTTTTCAATATAATTTTAATTTTTCATTGTTATTATGAAAAAAAAATACAAATTTATTGAAATGGAGACAACAATTTTTCAATGTATTTTTTTTTATTTCTTTCAATTTTTAAAATTTTTATATTTGTCTAATTCGGAAAACTGTAAATCTTTAATTTTTTTATAAAAAGTTTGAAAATGATCACAAAAGACAAAAAAATAAATAATAAAAAAACATTTAAAAATCTATATCCAAAAAATACCTAAAAAATTGGAGAGAAAATTAATTGAAATTTGTCAAAATAACATGTAACCATTAAAATACAATTACTATAATTTGACAATTTATTACTGTTTATTACGAAATTGTATGCTTTTATGTGACCAGTACTCGTCCACCAATGGAATCCATTGATATATTTGATATAATATGTTATTAAAAATAATACTATATATTAATTAATGTATTATAAATAATGTATTAAAAGATAATATAATTGATATATT